CACGGTGAGAAAGCCCACGCTCGAAGGAGACGCAGGTTAGACCCACAGGGTCGCCCGCCCGCCCGCCCGCCCGCCGCTCTCCCAGGCCCCGCGCCTTCAGCCAGACCAGCCCGGTTGACCCCGTCCTCCCTCACATTGAAGGCGGGCAGCTGCCCTTCTGGCGCGCGATGCAGCTCGCGGACCAGCTCCATGGCCTTTTCGCAGAACATATCGTCCGCGCCCCGGTCCCGAGGCCTCGTCAACCGCCCGCTCTCACACCAAACGGTCGCCGGGTTCACGCACACGACTCTGGGGATCGGGTGGTTTCCAGTCCCACAGCGGCGGGTACTCGCCTCCGCCTCCGTTTCGCTCTTTGGCGCCAAACACGCCCAGCCAATAGAAACGCGCTCCAGGGCCTCGTGGCCTACGGCGGCGGCCAAAGGACAATTGCCTCCGCTGCGCAGCCGCACTATAAAAAAGGTGAAAGCCGAGGAGGGTTTCGCTGGCTCATCCTTCCCTAGGGAAACCCGTGCAGCTGCGGAAGAGTCAGCGGGCATGGGTTCCAGCCTGTAAGCTGAGCAAAGGCTCTCTTTTGAACCTCACCTCGCGATATAAACGTATCTCGCAACTCGCAACATCTTTTTTTTTATAAAATTAGGTCGATTCATTTTCATTTAGGTTCAACGGGGTTCTACTTTGAGCTTGAGAAGGAATGCTCAGAAACTTGGTGTGCATGAATGCAATGACGCAGCATTTCGTTTTCGTTTTGCAGTGTGGGCTTTTGTTTGCTCAAAAGGGAAACCAACTTTTATTGGGTATCTCCTTTATGGTAGGGAGTGTGACATATGTATCATTTAATTCTCATGATTAACCCTAAGGTAGCTTTTAAGACCCTTGGTACTGATTAGAAAGCAAAATAATTTTTTTTTTTTTTAAGTTGGCTCCATAGCCAACTTGGGGCTTGAATTCAGTACCCTGAGATCAAGAGTTGCAGGTTGTAAGGACTGAATCAGCCAGGCGCCCCAACAACTGAATAGATAACCTACCAAGTTTACTCAGCTTCTAAAGTGACAGACTTTGTATTTAAGCTTTGAACCCCACAAAATCACCTTTGATTTTAAAGGAGTCATTTAAAAACATTTGGAAAATAGTTTTAATCAGGAAGCCTACAAAGGGGGAAAATACCCAGATTAACATCAATTCACACAGCCATAATCTTACCTACATGATTATGGAAATTTTCATAATCATATAGCATCAGAGATGAAAGTTAATGCTGTAGAGAAAACTTGTTTTATTTGGCTACCTTTAAAAAGCAAAACTTTTTTTAAAAAGGCAATATTACTGGATTAATTCTAGCTAACCCTAGAAACTATGTTCCTCTTTTGCAAATAAAGATACAACAGATATGTAATCGGAAGAATGAACATGGGAATGGCCTACAAAGCCTTTGAATCTTTAAGCTAATTGACATTTCCTTTTAAGCTCTACAGTCAGGGATAATTTAGCTAAGTTTTATTAAAAACACAGATCCATAGTGGTCTGTGCTACAAGACTGTGTTCCAACAATCACCAGTATCCACAACCTTCCTTTGTCATAAACCTTTTTAATTTCAGATCCTCGGCCTGAGATTCATTTCCTCACCTGTACAATGGGGGCAATAGTACACACTTCTGAAGGGTGGTGGTGATTCATTACTCCTTCAGCAAATATTTATGAAGTTCCTACTATATTCTGTGCATTGTTCTAGACTCTGAAGATAAAGTAGTGAACAAAGTCCTTGTTCTCAGAGTCTATGTTCCAGTGTGGGATACAGATATACCAATGATAAATATATTAGTGAAAAATGCTCAGGAGAATAAGCCAAGGCAGGTAAACAGAGTGATGATGAGAGGACCTGAGGGTTTTCTTAGTGTTCAGAGAAAGCACAGACCTGCAGTGGGGAGCGAATAACCAATGTGGAGATGGGGCCATAGAATGGGCAGAGAATTAGCAGCAGGAGGAATGCAAGTGCAAAGGCCCCAAGGAGGGGGATGTATGACTCACACACATTCAACCCACACCTCTCCTTGAGACCCCAGCCTCAGCAAGGAGGCAGTGACACTGGAGCAGAGTAAGGGAGGGAGACCTTGGTGACTGAGATCAGAGTGAGGGCTGGAGGCCCTTTCACAAGCTTTCTGTTTTATCTTCAGTGAGATGGGAAACCATATAGTTATTTTAAGCAAACAAATGACAGGACTGGACCTACATCTTTAAAAAGAACTTTCTGACAGCTGAGTTAAGTAGACAAAAGTTGGCAAAAGTGGAGGTAGGAGACCACTTACACTAGTAAAATAATCCAAGTGAGAGAGGATGGCAGCTTGGGCCAGAGTGCAGATGGAGGAGGTAGTGAGAAATGGCTGCATCCTGGATAGATTTTGAAAGGAGTGGTAATACAGATAGACATAAGAAGGGAGGATTCAAGGATGATCCCAGGGTTCTGACCCAAGGAAATAGAAGTATAATATTGCCATTCCTGAGGTGAGGAAAGTTACACATGGAGTTTGGGATGGGAAAAGCGTTGGGAGCTCAGCTTTGAACATAGTAACTTTAGGTGCCTACAGGATATCAGAGTGGATGAGTAGACCATTAGATAGAAGACCCTGGAGTTCAAGGAAGGGGTACAAGATACAAATGTGGGTGTCACCAGCATAGGATGGTATTTAAAGACCATAAAGTCAATGTGTAATATCAGGAAGCAAGAATTTCCTGTTCCCTTCTAGGACCTTCTGGCTGTACTAAGAATCAGATTGATATGAAATAGATTAACAGGAGAAAACCAAATTTAGTTTCCTACATATAGGGAATTCACACTGACATGGAAATTCCAAAGATAGTCAGGCAAAATAAGGTTATCTGTATATTATCCTGAACTAAGGAGAGTCAGGTAGGGGTCTGGGACTTTGAAGGGAAAGAATGCAAGTCACAGGGCAATAAGAAGAGCAAATGTTTGGTAATTAGATACTTGCCTTGCCATATAGATAGGTCACTCAGATAAAATTTATTTCTGGTAATAAGTTATTCTGGGAAAAACCCCCAATTTAGATTCTTCTATATAGTCAAGGGAGGGGCAAAAAGTTTCTTCCACAGGGAGGACGTCTATAGGGTCTTAATTGCCTTTAGCTCAAAATAATCTTCAAACCAAAGTGGCCCACCTTGGAGCAGCCTGGCCCTTGGCCCCTACAGGACCAAGAGCTGAGGACTGTATGGGCAAGGCCTAATGCCAGCCAAACTCAATAACCCTCACATTTCTCTTCTCAACAGCCCTCCCTTGTTTTTTGTTGTTGTTGTTGTTGTTGTTGTTTTTCCTATTAAAGAGGATTTTGTGAGTGATAGGGTCAAAAAAAAATTTTTTTTTTAATTCAGTTTCTGGATTCCTAATCCCAGTATGTGCTAGTATAACAGTTTAAAGAATTCACAATTGAGTGCTGGTTGGGATATTTTTATAACACCATTAATGAAATTCTTTCACAATTTAAGTATCATTACAAAGCTAATAGAAGGAGCTACTAATTTCTCCTTTTTTTTTTTAATCTTTGACAGATAGAGAACACAAGGAGGCAGGGAGGCAGGCAAGAGAGAGGAGGAAGCAGGCTCCCCGCTGAGCAGAGAGCCCAATGCCAGGCTTGATTTCAGGACCCTGGGATCATGACCTGAGCTGAATGCAAAGGCTTTAAGCCATTTGAGCCAGCCACCCAGGTGCCCCAGAAGGAGCTACTAATTTCTAAAGGGATTTCTAATTGATGTTAAATTATCAGTTGCCAATAGTTTTCAACTAACAGAAATGTTGAAATTTTGAAATGAAAGTTCACTTTGTGATAAGTAAGCAAATCTCTTAATTGTAGATCCTTTGCAAGAAATATTAAAGAATGCCAAAGCTGTAAAACTAAATTTGTGAAACTACTCTTTTCTTTGTAAGATGAGTTGAATTAGTTTTTTTTTTTTTAAAGACTTTATTTATTTATTTGACAGAGAGAAAGATCACAGGTAGGCAGAGAGGTAGGCTGAGAGAGAGGGGGGAAGCAGGCTCCCTGCTGAGCAGAGAGGGCTCCATCCCAAGACCCTGAGATCATGACCTGAGCAGAAAGCAGAGGCTTAACCCACTGAGCCACCCAGGCGCCCCTGAATTAGTTCTTAACTTGGGTTTCACAAGTGTAAACTTATCTTTGAAACACATTTTTTTCCACTTTTTTTTTTTTTTTTTAAGATTCTTTAAGTAATCTCTACTCCCAACCTGGTCAAGAGTCTCCTGCTCCAGCTACTAATTGCTTTACAAAAATCTAAAATCAAATACAGACTTTAAGAAGTAAATTGTTTAATGAGTTCAGTTTTCATACGTTCAGCCCTAAACTTAAAAATTAAATTACCTATATGTTTGTGTTTAAAAAAAAAAAAAGTACCTGAAAGCATATTTTTTAAAAAGTAAAATCTTGTGGGAAAACAGTTATAAATCATGAAAATGGTGACTTGTTACCTTTTGATTTTGTTCTCATAAATCATTAGAGAAACGTTTCCGAGGGATTCGCTCACGTTGGGTTTCCAGCATTAGGGAAAAATCAGTCTGGGGCGGGAGAGGAAGGAGCCAGCTCTCCTCTGCGGCTCTGGCTCGTTGGGTGCTTTCTGGCCGTTGTCCTCTCACATTTGGGCCACTGATCTGGGGCAGGACCGAGGGCGTTTGCTCACGGCGCTGAGCACGCCGGCAAAGGCGACCCTCCGCCCAGCGGCGCCCTAACCCAGACTCCTCGCCTGCACCACCCGTCGCTCGGCCCCCACTAGCCCGCGACGCCCCTCAAGGCTTCGTACGCCCTTCTCCAAAATGGCCGCAGGCCGGCGCCGGGGACGCTGGGCGCGCTCCCGGCGGAACCCAGGAGGGGGCGGGGCGGGGCGGGGCGGGGCGGGGCGGGGCGGGGCCGGTGGGAGCGCGGCGCTAATTGGCCGACGCGGCCAGCCTGGTCCCAGGCGCCGGTCCGTAGAGCCGGGCGCCGCGGCCTGGGACTGGGATCCGAGGGGGTGCGGCCTCCCGGCGGCCGCGGCTCCCCTGAGTAGCGGTGACTGCAGCGCGGGCGGGCGAGGTCAGCGGACGCCGCCGGCGGCCGGCCGTGTCGGCCGCGGGATGAGGAAGCGGACCGAGCCCGTCGCCTTGGAACATGAGCGCTGCGCCGCCTCGGGCTCGTCCTCCTCCGGCTCGGCAGCCGCGGCGCTGGACGCTGACTGCCGCCTGAAGCAGAACCTGCGCCTGGCGGGCAAGAGGCCGGCAGAGCCGCGCTGCGCCGCGGACGCGGGCATGAAGCGGGCTCTGGGCAGGTGAGGCGCGGCGCAGGGGCGAGGCCCCCTACCTGGCGCGCAAGCAGACCTGGATCCTCCCGGCCCTCCATAAGTTTCTTGCCTGCAGGAGCGCCCCACGTCTCCCTTCCACACTCCGGTGTCCTCTTCCGATTCTCCTCCATCCTTTCCCCTCGCCTGGCCCGCGGGTGCAGCCCGTGGGCATCCTTTCCCCAAGGTATCTGCCTGCGGGAGCACTCCGACGGTCCCCTCCCTCCCCGGGTGTCCTTTTCTGGCCCTCCGCGGAGCTCAGCCCCGTGCCCTTCCCCTTCCCAGGGGAGCCAGTGGGACCCTGTCCGCGACGGGCTGGACCAGGGTCTCCTCCAAGGGTTGGGAGCAGCGGGCAGTCACGACCCCGCGTGGGAGAGTAGAGGAGAGCGTGGGGGCGGGGGGCGTCCCCTGTGAGGCTCCCGGACGCCGGCACGTAGATGAGACGCAGAAGCGCAGGCTCCTGAGCCTGAGAGCGTTGGGGCTCTTTGCCTCAGATCTGCATAGAACTCAAAACCGAGCGCCCCTCGTGCTGGGCTGGCTTGTGCGGAAGCTTATCTTTTTTCGGTTTCTCACTCTGGTCATTTTTCTCGGGTAGCTCGTCGTCAGAAGTGGCGTTCTCTGCTCAGAACTGCTGGACGTTTGGGGGAAGGTTAAATGCGCTGTGCCCAGGGGGACACCGCATCGTCAGCGGTTGGAGGGAAACCTGTCGTTGGTTGTGCAGGTGCTTGAAATTTGACTGCACTGAGTTGTCTCCTTAGGAATCTCCGTGGAGTCTGGAAGTCTTAGTTTTTTGCTTTCCCCTCTGAGTAGGAGATGAATGCATCCAGGTAAAGCTGATTTCAGAATTAAGATAGTGTATTTCACAGGGACAAAGTTCTCCTTGTATGCTAGCTTCGTAATCTGGCTGGTCATAGAACGTATCATTCATGGCAAGTGTGAAGTCTGGATGTTTCACGGTTTTGAATGTTCTCAGGTGTTACCGAGTCCTTTCTTTTGGGGTCAACTGGAATGCCCTTAATTGACACTGGCTACTTCAGTGTCAAATATTTATCAAAATAGTCTCTAAAAATATCAATTTCATTGCCTGAAAGATCACGAAATTGAAAATATGAATATTTGGATAAATAAAATAAAAATATTTCGATAAATATTTCTATTTATAGAATATTTATATTATAGAAATATTTATCCAAATAGACATTTCAGCATTTCAAATTCATTGCTTAAAATGTTATGAAATTAAATTGCAGTCTCCTCTAAGTCAGTGGTTCACATTCTTGCCAGAAGGGCAGGGACTGACAGTTTTTTTGGTTTTGTTTTTTTTGTATAAAGTTATCTAGTAGCTGGTCAGTATCTTTTGTGAAACTAATTTGTCCTCTTTTTCTGTGGAAAGGTTTATCTGCATTAAAAACTCATGAGTAGCTTTAATGTACTTTTGTTAACAGGTTTGGCATTACACCGAGATAAGTTTGGGAATTCTTCCTTTGAAGAAATGAAATTGTTAGGCCCAAGAGTGTTTGGGGAAACAGTGCTGGCCCGGTACCTTCCTTGAAAGATGTACTGTATTAAAAGGGTATGCTTATTTTCATTTTTGTATTGGGACAAAGAGACATTCAAGAGGTGCTCATATTCTTTGGAGGAACGAAAGACTGTTAGGGAATAAAAAGTAAAGCAGAGGGCAGGAAAGCCAAGTTTGCATGTTAGCCCGTGGCTTCCCTCCCTTCTTGGAATGTTCTCCAGGACATGCTTCTGCTTTGTTTTCTTCCTCACCCAGGTCTCTGCCCAACTGTCACGTCCTCCTGTCCTCAGAGAGGCCCTCCCTCTCTGAGAGACCAGCCCATGCAAAATAGACTTCTTGCCATTCCCAATGCCCTTATTCTGTTTGCTTTTTTCATCACACTTACCTCTCTCAACCTTAAAATTGTCTGTGTACTTAACTTGCTTTATTGGCTGTCTCCTCCCCTACAAGAATGGAAGCCCTATGAGAGCAGGGGCATTGTTTCCTCCACTTTTCTATCTCTAGTGTATGGCTGTTGTAGGTGGCAGAAAATACTTGATTTAATTATCTGTGGTGTAAATTCCTAAGAAGTGGAATTGCTGGGCCAAGGAGTGTGTGTTTATAATTTTGAAAGGTGAGGCCAAAGTGCCCTCCAATGTACCGATGGATACTTTCCCCAGCAGTGTCAGTTGCCTCTCTTCCCCCCAATGCTGAATGTTACCAAATATTTTTTATCTTTTTTCTATTTGATTGATGAAAATGACATCCTATTTGTAACTTTAATTTGCATTTCTAATTGTTAGCTGGCAATTTGTGTGTGTTTTTATAAGCCTGTTGCTTACCTTTGGGTCTCTCATTATCTGCCTTTTCTTTGGGTCCTATTGTGCACATTTTCAAATATTCAAAAGTAGGGGAGACAATATAATGAACCTTGATGTATCCATCACATCTTCTTAAACAGTTTCCCATGTGTTGCCAATCTTGAATCATTTGTCCCTCCTCCCTCCATTTCTTTGTAGGATGAAGAACTAGAATATTTTAAAACAAATGATTTTATTCATAACTACTTCAGAATTAACAAATGATTTTATTCATAACTACTTAAGAGTATAACTTGGGAACTGGAACAAATAGGAACTTTTGAAATAATATAACCTCATTGCTATATTTATCAAAACTTTTTTATATTTATCAAAATTAACAGTTTATTGCCTATTAATTTAATCTAAAATCCAATCTACATACACATTTCTCCAGTTGTCTCAGAAATGTCTTTAAAATGTTTGTTTAAAAATCCTGTACATTTCTTAAGTTTATTCCTGTTATTTGGTCTTTTGTTGTTGTTGAAAATAGGACCCTTTCTTATGTTACATATTTCTATTATTGTACTTAATAATTTTTTAAAAGATTTTATTTATTTACTAGAGGGAGCACAAGTAGGGGGAGCAGCAGGCAGAAGGAGAAGCAGACTCCCCCCTAAGCAGGGAGCCCGATGCAGGGCTTGATCCGAGGATGCTGGGATCAGAACTTGAGCCGAAGGCAGAGGCTTAGCTGACTGAGCCACCAAGGCACCCTGAAATTTTATTAAATTACTTATTAATTTTGTACTTATTAATTTTGCAAGCAGCAACTTATGTAATCATATTGTTTCTATTAGTGTTTGCAGTTGGTTCTTTTGGATTTTCAGGTAGAATATCATATCAGTCACAAATAATAAGAATTTCATTCCATGTTTTCTACTTTTTATGTCTCTTATTTCATTTTTTTGGTTGCATTGTATTTCCAAAACAAGATTAAATATTGGGAATGCTAGTGGGTATCTTGTCTTGTTCCTTACTTTACTGAGAATGCTTTTAGTGTTTTTGCCACACTAGTTATTTTACTAAGGGGTGTGTTGTTGCTATTTGTTTTTTTAATAAAAAAATGGTTGTTGACTTTTATGAAATGCCATTTAACATCTGTGAAATTATCATTTAGATGGTCTTTCTTGACCTGTTGATATGGATTATAGTAACAGATTTTATGTTATTGAATCATCATCATATTATTGAATCATCTGTGAAAACTCCGTTAATATGTAGCCAGGTTCTATTAATATTTTACTTAGTCATTTTACATTGTTATATGTGAAAGTAGTTTGTAATTTTATTTCTTAATGTACTCTTTATCAAGTTGTTTTATTGCTTTCCGTAGCTTTATTCAAAGCTTTCTCTGCATTAGCTAGTTTAAATACTCTTGAAATTATCGGTTTCTTTAAATTTGGTGGAATTCCCCTGTGAAACTACCTAAGCCTGGTGCTTTTTTAGACTTGCTATCTCTTTCTGGGCTTAGTTTTGGTGATTTACATGTCCATAGAAAATCACCTGTTTTATACAGCTTTTTCCTCTGTATCTGGGGCTGTAATCCCTGTCCTATCCCTAATTTTGTGTGCTTACATTTTTCTTTTTCCTTTTTTCCCCTTTGATTATTTAAACTAGCAAATGGTTATACACTGAAGTATTTTTTTCTTTGGAAAAAATCTTTTTTCTTCCCAGTAACATTTTTTTGTTGTTAATTAATTCTGAGAGACCAAGATGATGCTGAGGGCTTTGGAGAAGTAGAGAGAACATCTTCCATCTGAAAGCTGCTACTGCACCTCTCGTGTTGCTGCCCCTGACAGGAATGTGGCCCTAGGATGGCCAGATTATCCGGTCTTTCAAGAAGAGACCTGGGGATGTGTGTGTGTGTGTGTGTGAACTCAAACTTTGTAAATGTTGGCAACTAGTTCAGATAAAAACAATAACTTTGGAGTAAGATAGAACAAAACATTTTTTGTTTTGTTTTTAAAAATTTCTGGATTCATCGTTTTTAAAGGTAAATGTTTATCTAATTTGTGTGTTGACCCTGCATTCCCTGAAAGAAGGGACTAGATATTAATTTTGTGCAGTATCTGGTAATTTTTGGCAAACAAGGAGTTTGTGGGCTTTTCCTGGTTTTTTTGTTTGTTTGTTTTGTTTTATTTTGTTTTGTTTTTGGTCAGTAATCCTGGAGTTCTTTGGAATATGCCTTAATGGTGTGAGTGATCTAATTTGGACCCTAGGAAGGTGGTACTGAGATGTATGGGTCTGTGTGTTTCAGTGAACTAGTTTTTATCCTTCAACTCCCAGCTCATCAGTGGATCTGCAGGTGACTGAGATCAGTGAGATGAATGGGAGGTTTCATAACCAGTGATCCTTGCATGTAAATACAGAGGAACTGAGGCATCATCCTTGGTTCCTCCTTGACCCGAAGCAAGGGACTTCATCCAGCTGCTGATGGCTTTACTGTAATCCAGAAAGGTAGGTGGCTGAGGTTAACAGCCCTTTCCTTCAGCATCATTCTTGAGCTCACCTTAGAAGGTGCTTTGCATGGTATCTCTTTGTTCTTTCCTTATACACTGAGAAGGTGAGAGTGTGGTCTCAGTTAGCTTTTGCCATTAAAATGTACTTTTCTCAGTCCCCCTTCTTCTTCCACT